CTCACTTTGTCATTGAATAAAATTTTTTTCTGATTTTTTTCTTGAAAATCCTCTCAAAATGCACGAAATGCCATTTTAGAAGGTTCATTTTTCAAAATTTTCCGGGAGAGCATGCCCCCGGATCCCTCTAGGAACCTCGCGCCCCCCTCTAGCAGTGGGAAGAACACACCCCCCCCCCAATTCAAAATCCTGGCTACATGCATGAGCTCTACAGTAGTGTGGTCTTGAGACCCTGGAGAACAGGAGAGTCAAATTGTGCCGTAAGTGTGCAGTCAGCATAGAGAAGTCAGAGAGAACCACTGATCTGCTACCACCAACTAGGAGACAGTGAACCCGACGTGAACTCAGAAACTCTACAAAACGGACTCTTCTGGTCACACGTAAAACAAGATGTAACAACAGCCCTCTACCGTCCCTCTTAAGACTGTTGAACAAAACGAAATGATATTGCTCTTAAGTTTGTGAATGTCTCTGATATACCTTGTGCAATTTGTGTATGGAATAGTTTAATGTAATATTCATATGTAGAAATGTGAATGAGATTAGCAAAATTTGAATTAGCAAATGTAAATGTCGTGTAAATATTTTTCAAGGTGCATTTCTACTACCACAATTTCACTCCGAGATTGTGTAGTCGTTACGTTTTTAAAGTGAATGTCTTTGAACGCAATTCAGCTTTCTGTCGCCATGTTCGTGATTTTTAGGAATAAACCATTTTTGATTGATCTATTGATTAGAGAATACACTAATAGTAAGTAGTAATTGATACTATCAACATGCATTTGTCGATTATAACAAAAGTTTCACTTGACCTAACTTTATAACTTCTTTTGTTTTGCAGTTAACAAAATATGCTATAAAAGAAAGCAATATACAAATTGGAAAATCCAGCTATGTCAGCATTCAGCAGAAAAACATTCTGCAATGGCGTTATCTAAATGGTTCTCTCAACTTCGATAAGATCACAATGGGAAAACACTCTGTCGCCTTTGTGATGAATCCTCAATCGGTGTATCACGTTGGAGACACGCTCTTCATCAAGATTGTAGCCAGAGATGCAAAACACAGGCCTAAGTTTTACGGAGGGGATTTTCTTCGGGCGAAGCTTTTCAGCAGAGTACCTGTAAATGCTAGCACCACTGGAAGGATCACAGACTACGGGAATGGGACTTATGTCGCAAGATTCTTTCTTAGTTGGCCAGGCAATCTCTCAGTTTCAGTCCAAATCATCCATCCAAGTGAGGCTGTGCAGGTTTTCAAAAGACTCCAAAACAGTAGCAGGCGGATCGTGGTTTGCGGCTTTTCTGATGAAAGCGGAAACGTGACTGAGTGGATGCCTTGCTCTAGCAGTACCAACGTGAGCATGAATCTACGTGATGTGTGTGACTTTTCTAAGTCATTCATTAATGCAACTTTCTACTGCCAACGTCCAAGACTCAGTCGCTGTGATAGTCTTGCGGATTGCCGCCGACACCGGGAAAAATCGGTGTCGCTGCATAACATGTTGACTAACGTCGACGAACGGAATATGCTTCTAAGGTAATTGTAATGATGGAAGATAAAGATCAAGACATGAATATCAAAATTGGATTTATTGTTACTGAAACATACTCCCTAAAACACTTTGTGTATGTTTAGTACCTTCAGTGATCAGTGTTAGAAGTAATAACTTAATATGTAAAAATAAGTTAATATAATGCGACGAGGAACATAGTGATAATAAGATGTAAACGTGGGGTAAACAGTGTTATCCCTGTTATTTATGGATTTTTTAGCACAGTATCTAAATCATTCTTATTCCCGTCTTGTAGAGAACTCGGTGTTGAGGATCTGTTGTCGAGCATTGAAGGAATCCAAGTCAGAGGCAGACGTAAGTATATATACTTTTACTATTATTTGTTAATGAATTTTAAATATACAATTATATAATATTCCTGGTTGACACTAATTTAACTAACGTCTATTATTTTTCTTTTCTTAATTAAAATTAAATCGTCAATTTTAGGTATTTTACAGGAAACCATGTGTTGTTTTTCTAGGTATTTTGAACAAAATTGAAGAAACAACACTGCCACTCTGTGCTCCAGGACTGCCAGAAACACCGTCTGAAGGGTACTGGTTTAACGGAACGTGGTATTCACTTAAATGTCAATCACGAAAGTTTCCCTCAGTTCGATCTGTGTTCGGATGCCTGCAAAATAAATCAGTGCTCTTTTTTGGTGATTCTACTATTCGACAATGGTGGAAATTTCTAAAGGATCTTCCTAAATTACATCATACCGGCTCAGTTGTATATCACGCAGCTGCAGTACATGGCAAATATAATACAACATTAGAATTTACATTTCAGCATTTTCCAAGAAACGCAATAAATGACAAAATAAAGTTACAATTTAAGATTCTTCGCTATCTGGCAGAAGAGATAGACGGAATTAAGGGAGGGCCAAATGTTGTGCTAGTTTTAGGGTTATGGGGTCACTATACTGCCGAGCCAATTGAAACATTTCGTTCGCGACTTTACGGAATTCGCTACGCTATAGAGCGACTACACAGTCGTTATCCAGACACAAAAGTAATTTGGCGAACAAGTAACACCCGCGATCATTCTCGGTGGTTCCATTTTTTAGAAAACAGTGATTGGTATGCTTATCAGTTGTTACGGGAAGCCAAGAAAATCTTGAAAGGTCTAAATATTGCAATCATAGATGTCTGGGAAATGACTTCCTGTATGTGGCATGATCCTATTATGCATGTACCCGAGGATGTTGTAAGAAATCAAGTAGATTTGCTATTGTCATACATCTGCCCCTTGTAAGCAAGAGAGAACAAAACTACCCGAAACGCAGGTTAAAATTCCTTAATCTAGTTAGTTACATCAGGTAACATTTGTATGGAGAAAGTTGATGATGCTAAACCATCATATCTAGCTTGTGTTCGTATCGCCGATCAGCGCTGTTATGGCGAATCCTTTTCTTTATATATACCATTACCTTCGCTTAGAAAGTTATTTCTTGGTAGTGTTTCATAAGATGACAATTATGTAATTTGGATTTACTTCGCAAAGGTAACAAGTAAATTCCGTAAATCCGCTATGTTCCATGATCGAAATATTTACAAAGTACGACGATACGTCTACCTGTTTTAAGCTATCCTCTCTGAAAGATTAAAAAATAATGTCCCGCAGTTCCTGAACAAGTTGCTAGGATGCCTTAACTCGTTTGACTTCTTTCTGGACACAACAGCTATTAACCATTTAAAATCTTGCATTTTTAGATCACGAGATATAAAAAAAAACGGTTTCTCTGCAGTGCGAAAGGAAGTCGCTAGGGTGTCCCAAATGTACGCCAAAAAGTAGTTACTCAAGCAACTGGATATGATTTTTGAATGTAGTCAATGTAGTCAATTTTCGCCACACTCTACCAACGCACCAAGTATAAAATTTAATCCATTCAGCTGTTCTAGAGTTATCTTGTTCTCCAACAGACAGACAGAATGACAAACGCAACTAGAATTACAACATCCATGATATTTATTGGAGGCTATATTAAAAAAAATAAATAAGAATAACCAGGAACTTGTTTGGCAAAATTACAACGAAACAAATTAATTAATTTCAATTGATTTTCAATTGCAATTTGCCCCACTATTTACCCCATTTCAATGCGTCTCTGTGTCTTTTTTTCTTACAATTTCAATTATATATTCTTATCTACAAAAGCATGCTGTAATATAACGTAAGTTATATATGGTATGGGGAGTCCTAGGTGGTGCACGAAGGTGGTTAAGTATCACTCTATTTATCAGCCGTATGGAGCAGACCCTATTTAAACCGCTATTTTTTTTAGAAATTATAAACATGATACCAGCTCAATTGTTTTGCAAATTGTTGTGTGAACCTCTGACTATACATTACGCACAAGAACTATACATTTTGACCTTTTCTTTTTTTTTTGGTGAGGAAAAGACAAAAAGAAGAAATACCCGATTTTAAACCCTATTGAGACCGAATAGTTTTTTTAAGGCCCGCGCCAACTTTAATCTCAAATAGCACCTAAACGGATTGAGCTAGAACCATGAAATTTGGCGACCATTCATGAAATGTATCTGGGAAATATTTCGAGTTAGTTAAATAAGTTAATGATCTTTTGTGTTGCCATGGCAACGGGTTTCTGACAGGCAATTTTATTGGAAAAATCAGTAATTTTCGTTCAAACATAAAAGTTCTCAAGGTTTTATATTAAATAACACTTCATTTCTGACATTAATAGCACCTTACGTAATTAAAGATAAGTTAAAAAAATCAATATTCATAATATATGCTAGTTTGATGACGTCATTGGTCAAAACCCAAGATGGCGGACCATATTATTAGCTCTGACGTCATATCACGTCATAAATATACCAAAGTTGTTAGAATTTAATTCTATTAGTACACCATTCTCTGAAAATTGGCTGGCCATACGATAAGTGAAAAAAACCATATAAAAACGGAAAAAAAGTCATGTATAAGAACGCCAGTGTATCCATTACGATCAAAAGCCAGCTGGGGTCCGCGCGGACCCCAAAAGAAAATCAGATATAAGAATTTTCTAAGAATGGGGTAAACTGGGTTTTCTGCACTTTATTGACGTACAACTTTGTGGGGAACAATTTCCTGAAATTTCAGAAAAAAATCTTTAGAAACAAGAGAAAATATAACATCATTTATATCATACCCGGGCCGCGATAACGGGTTTCAGACCGGGCCGTATTTTACATTACTTTACGGTACGGCCCGGTCCAGAACCCGTTATCGAACGCTTCCCTGGATTTTCGCCCTAACCGCGTCTGCCCCTTTCGAAAATTCGAATACAGAATCCGGACATTGGAATTGATGTTGTTGCAGTTCAGGGTTCAGTGGCACCAACTTTTGGCTCATCTTGCATTAAAAGGCGTGTTTTCTTGGGTGGGTATGACATAAATAAAATACAACACGGTGTATTCCGCAGCGCCCTCGGTCCCGGCCCTCCCGCGAGTCGGATCACCCTATGGTGCTGGGGTCCCCGCGGACCCCAGGTGTACTGTATTGGGTTAATTATGGAGAATGGTGTATATGTCAATTAGTAGGTCCTTGTAGCCTGGTGATCCAAGATTAATTGTATAGAATAGAATGTTCAGGACCTACCAGCACTAAATGAAACACGAGAACTTGCTGCTTAAACGTTGTTCAAACGTATGTTTACACCAAAACAACCACTCAATGATAACCGGATGACACGTCCTGCACCGTGTGTATCCTCCGATTTGCAAGATCAACGCAATTCAGAAGTACATGTATATTTGTGTTTATGTTATGTTGATTTAAATAAAGAAAAAGTCAAACAACCTCATCGCTTCGCTTCATGCCTTCGCCAGAAAATATCAGTATTTAGGGGTGACGAATTAGAAATGTTTCGCATTGATTATAGAAGTAAGAAACTCATTTTCAGATCATTATATTCTCCACCGAAAAGAATTTAACTTAAGAAGGGAAGCTCTTGTAGCAATTTTATATTGAATTATTGGAATGTGTTTCTGATTTGAAAACGTTCTGTTTATTAATGTTGTTCCCCTTTAATTAAGCCGGCCGTTTTTTTTTTTTTACCCTGGATAAAAACTATAAGGACGTGCTTCCACTGTGACCTTTCCAGAATACACCAAAATATACGTAGTCTCCCAGCAAAGCATGCGCACCTCGAAATCCTTGCTGCTGAAAGTAAAGTAGATATTATAGGGTTAACTGAAACTCACCTGAGTGATGATTTTCCAGACGACACTATCAAAATACCAGGATACGTACTTGTAAGGAGGGATAGGGGATCAAGACATGGTGGCGGCGTTGCCTTTTATATCAAAGACTCAATTGCTTTCAAAGAAAGGCATGATCTATCGGTAGACGGGCTCGAGGCCTTGTGGATTGAGCTAACCCCTCCAAAGTCTAAGCACTTACTTCTGTGCTGCGCATACAGACCTCCAAATGACACAGACTTCTTCAGTCTCTTCAAGGAAAGCATGGATAAAGCTTCCGACACTAACCTTGAAACGACAATATTGGGGGATCTGAACTGTGATTTACTGATTGACAAGGGTCCGGCCGAAGATCTTAACTTCTTGTGTGATCTCTACGATTTAACTAATCTAATAAAGGAGCCAACAAGAGTAACGGAACAAAGCTCATCACTCATTGACGTGATATTAACATCGAACTCTTGTAAATACTCCAACAGCGGTGTGTATAAAGGAGGGCTGAGTGACCATCACCTAATATATACACATCGTGGTCTAAAGCAACCAAAACCTTCCCCTAAGTGGATTTCTGCGAGGATCTTTAAAAGATTCGTTGAAGAAGATTTCATAGCGGATTTAGAGAGAGTCCCATGGTCAACAATCAGCGCCCTTGGTTCAGTACAGGACATGTGGCTGGCCTGGAAATCTCTTTTCGAAGCTGTGTGCAATAAACATGCCCCAGTCAAGAAGTTCCGTGTGAAAGGAACTGACCGACCTCCCTGGCTCTCTGAGGAAATTCGGGAGATGATGTCCTTGCGTGATCAGGCGAGATGCACGGCAGAACGAACACAGAACGAGAAAGACTGGGAGACATATAGACATCTGCGTAACCACACCAAAAGACTGATCTCCTCGAGTAAGCAAAACCATTACACTGAGGAAATCAACCAAAGCCAAACCAAGGACATGTGGAAATCCCTTCACTCTCTGTTGGGCAAGTCCAAGTCAAGTGATATTCAAAGTATGAAGGACGAGACGGGTGAGGCAAGCTCCTCCCTAGAAATAGCCAAAAAACTAAATAACTATTTTGGGACAGTGGCCGAAAAGCTAGCACACTCCATCAGCAAAACCATGCCATCGTTTAGTCCCTTGGAGTATGTAAAAAGATGTCTCGCCCGCTTCTCATTTACACCCATAACAGTTGACTTCGTCAAACAGGAGCTCAGAATGCTAAATACTAGCAAAGCCACCGGTCTTGATCAACTTAACAACAGGCTCCTGAAGGCTGCGGCTGATGCCATCGCTCCTTCTCTCACAGACATTCTGAACGAGTCACTGGCACAACAGGAGTTTCCGGAGGATTGGAAGCAGGCGAGGGTAACGCCCATCCACAAGGCTGGCGACAGAGCCCTTCCAAATAATTACCGACCAGTTAGCATCTTACCAACTGTTTCAAAAATCCTTGAGAGAGCTGTACATACTCAGCTCTACGATTATCTTACCGAAAATAACATTCTCTCTGATAGGCAATCTGGTTTCCGACCAAAACACTCTACACAGTCCGCTGCACATTTATTACCTTCGCCAAGAAGGTTATGTTTTCAGAGGCGTTCGTGTATGTGTGTGTGTGTGTGTGTGTGTGTGTGTGTGTGTGTGTGTGTGTGTCTGTCTGTAAACACGATAACTTGAGAAGGC